CGGGTCTAGGCCTGAAACATCAGCCTTCCTGCTCCTCTGATGCTGCTTGGCCTGCTGTGTTCATCCAGCTCTACACCTTGTTATCTCAGATTCTCCAGCATCTGCAGTTCCTACTATCTCTATATTATAGAATGATTTGGCTGGTTAGGTATTTAGGTGTAAACGTCTGATAATCACATTACGATCTTAACATAAATTGTTTTCTCCTTTGGAACTATTCTACTCCATGCTCCTACACCATCTCCGTATCATTGGTGACCTCTTAATGTAACAATTCCTATTTCTGTGGGGGTGGGAATGGACATATGTGCATATTTTGCTGCTGGCCATTAAATCATCAATTCTTTCCACTGAAGTGTGGTTTTGGTCATGCAGGAGTGTGAAACCTGAATATGCAGATTAGATGTGGTAAGAGCAGGTCTGAACTTTGTGGATTCATTACAATCGTCAGAGCACGCCCTTTGAAGTGGAAAGGTGCCTCTTTGGATCTCACTGCAGACATCCTTTGAGGAGATAACATGCCCTTTAAAACTTGTTGAAAGTAGCTGTAAGTGTATACAAAGACCACAAAAGCATTACTGTCAAGATCATTGACCTGTCAAGAGCTATCAGTAAAAATCAATTGTCAAAATGTCAAATGGAACTAACAAAGCAGTTTATCCTTTAAATCTTTGAAAAAAATAGTCTCAAGCGTGTAAAAGCAAATGAATGCGGACTTTTTCACTTGCTCTTAGCCTCACACAACTTGAATTTGCCTTTCCATTTCTGAAGAAGGGTCCAGACTCGATGCCGCTTGGCCTGCTGTGTTCATCCAGCTCTACACCTTGTTATCTCTTGCCTTTGCACTCAGCAGCCTGACCTGACTCCAAGGGAACCCTGCCATCGAAAAACAAAAATCCCACCTTTCGAGACCACTTTCTCCCAGACTGGATTTGCATAGCCAGGGGATGTCCTTATTTTGTGTTGTCAATCCGTGGCTGAAAATCTGGGCTCATAGCCGACGCAAATCCGCCCACCACCAATGCCGACGCAACTCCGCCCACCACCGACACTGACGTCGCTCCGCCCACCGCCTCCACAGCCAGCAGCTCCAGAGGAGACAGTAGCACCCAGCCCTGCCGGGTCTTCATCATCCCCCAGACCTCCCCCTTACTGAGGACGAACGGTCAGTCCTCAGTAAAGGGCTCACCTTTGTCCCCCTCTACCCAAACATCAACGAATACCGCTCATGCTTGGACGTTGAACAATTTTTCCGCCGCCTCCGCCTCCACGCTTACTTCTTTAACTGTGAGCCTAACCCTCCCCCTACTGACCCCTTCTCCTGCCTCCAACATACCCCCTCCTCCTGGACACCACTCCAAGGCCTCCTACCCTCCCTCGACCTCTTCATCTCCAACTGCTGTCGTGACATCAATCACGTCAACCTCTCCACCCCTCTCACCCACTCCAACCTCTCCCCCACAAAACGTGCAGCCCTCCGCTCCCTCCGCTCTAATCCCAACCTCACCACAAAACCCACTGACAAGGGAGGCTCAGTTTTAGTATGGTGCACTGACCTCAACATCGCTGAGGCCAGACGCCAACTCTCTGATACCTCCTACCGCCCCTTTGATCATGACCCCACCCCCGACCACCAAACCATCATCTCCCAAACCATCCACAACCTCATCACCTCAGGTGACCTCCCACCCACAGCCTGCAACCTCATCGTTCCCCAAGCCTGCACCGCCCCCTTCTATCTCCTTCCCAAAATCCACAAACCTGACTGCCCCGGTCGACCCATTGTCTCCGCCTGCTCCTGCCCCAACGAACTTATCTCCACCTATTTCGACTCCATTTTCTCCCCCTTGATCCAGGAACTCCCTACCTACATCCGTGACACCACCCACGCCCTCCACCTCCTCCAAAACTTCCAATTCCCTGGTCCCCAACACCTCATCTTTACCATGGACGTCCAGTCCCTATACACCTGCATTCCCCATGCAGATGGCCTAAAGGCCCTCCGCTTCTTCCTGTCCCACAGGCCCGACCAGTCCCCCTCCACTGATACCCTCATCCGCTTAGCCGAACTCGTCCTCACCCTCAACAACTTCTCTTTCAATTTCTCCCACTTCCTACATACAAAGGGGGTGGCCATGGGTACTCACATGGGCCCAAGCCTCTTTGTAGGTTACGTGGAACAATCCCTCTTCCGTAGCTACACTGGCCCTAAACCCCACCTCTTCCTCCGTTACATTGATGACTGTATTGGCGCCGCCTTGTGCTCCCACAAGGAGCTCGAACAGTTCATCCACTTCACCAACACCTTCCACCCCAACCTTAAGTTCACCTGGACCATCTCTGATACCTCTCACTCCTTCCTGGACCTCTCTGTTTCCATCTCTGGCAACCACCTGGAAACCGATATCCATTTCAAGCCCACCGACTCCCACAGCTACATAGAATACACCTCCTGCCACCCACCTTCCTGCAAAAATGCCATCCCCTATTCCCAATTCCTGCGCCTCTGCTCCCAGGATGAGGCATTCCACTCCCGAACATCTCAGATGTCCTCGTTTTTCAAGGACCGCAACTTCCCCCCCTCAGTGTCCAAGAACGCCCTCGACCGTATCTCCCGCATTTCCCGCAACTCATCCCTCACACCCCCTCCCTGCAATAATAACCAAAACAGAATCCCCCTCATCCTCACGTACCACCCCACCAACCTCCAGATCCAACACATTGTCCTCCAACACTTCCGCCATCTGCAATCCGACCCCACCACCAAAGACATTTTTCCCTCCCCAACCTTATCTGCTTTCCAGAGGGACCACTCTCTCCGGGACTCCCTTGTCCGCTCCACACTCCCCTCCAGCCCCACCACACCCGGCACTTTTCCCTGCAACCACAAGAAGTGCTACACCTGCCCCTACACCTCCCACCTCACCCCCATCCCAGGCCCCAAGAAGACTTTCCACATCATGCGGATGTTCACCTGCACATCTGCTAATGTGGTATACTGTATCTGCTGTTCCCGTTGTGGCCTCCTCTACATCGGGAAAACCAAGCGGAGGCTTGAGGACCACTTTGCGGAACACCTACGCTTGGTTCGCACTAAACAACTGCACCTCCCAGTCGTGAACCATTTCAAATCTCCCTCCCCCTCCTTAGACGACATGTCCACCCTGGGCTTCCTGCAGTGCCACAACGATGCCACCCGAAGGTTGCAGGAACAGCACCTCATATTCCGCTTGGGAACCCTGCAGCCCAATGGTATCAATGTGGGCTTCACAAGCTTCAAAATCTTCCCTCCCCCTACCGCATCCCAAAACCAGCCCAGCTTCTCCCCGCCTCCCTAATCTGTCCTTCCTCCTACCTATCCCCTCCTCCCACCTCAAGCCCCACCCCATCTCCTACGTACTAGCCTCATCCCGCCCCCTTGACCTGTCCGTCTTCCCTGGACTGACCTATCCCCTCCCCAACTCCCCACCTACACTCACCTTTACTGGCTCCATTCCCGCCTCTTTGACCTGTCTGTCTCCTCTCCACCTATCTTCTCCTCAATCCATCTTCTATCCGCCTCTCCCTCTCTCCCTATTTATTTCAGAACCCCCTTCCCCTCCCCCATTTCTGATGAAGGGTCTAGGCCCGAAATGTCATCTTTCCTGCTCCTCTGATGCTGCTTGGCCTGCTGTGTTCATCCAGCTCTACACCTTGTTATCTCATTATTTCAGCTACAGTGCGTACTGCATCACACCTGTCTTCCTATCTCATTTTAACCTAACAACAATACTTTTGTCTTACAGTTACACGTTTCACAAGCTCAACATGTCTTTAAGTGCTTATCAGAAATGAACAGTGCTCCCTACCACTCCTTTATTGCTTCCTTCCAGCTATTCAGTCCCCTTTGCTCTCTAAAATGGCTTAAAATGTGCCTCTGCATTGATAAAAAAACACAAGTTGTTATTGTAAAGTAGTCAGAACTACTGGTTGAGTGTGTTGTAGAAGATTTCTACCAATTTTTATGTGAGGAAGTGTTTTGTAACATAACCCTGAATAACCTAGCTCTAATTTTAGGGATGTGTCCTCTTGTTCTGGACTTCCCAGAAACAGATTCTGTCTATCTAGCCTATCAAATTATATAATCAGCTTTAAAGCACTGATTAATTCTTTGGTTGCTTTTCTATGCTTGAGGGAGTCCTGCACAACCTCTCATCACAATTTAATAATTTCGGCCATTCTGACTAACCATTTATAGGCTGTTGTTGTTCATTTAGAAGTTAGTTGTGTGATAAGCCCTTGGCTGCTAAATTAACTTCAGTATAGTGATCACAGGAATGTTAAATGAACATGTTTATGCATTCATCTCACAAAAAATACCAATGGTAATCACTGTCTTACAACTGGCTGGGACGAAGACAAGAGTAAATTACTGGTGAGAACTTACCATCTTATTTGGTACTATCTTAGTTGCTTGCATTTTTAAGAACATGTGTTTTCTTTTGTGTGCCACATAATACTCTATTAATTTACAAATCAGCTTACTTTCTTTCTATTAATGATTATTACAAGCTATCAATTTTGGGAAGTGCGTGGGAGTGGTAGTGGCAGGGCTGTACCCAGAGTAGAGGTCAAGATGAAAACAGTGTCATTTATTGATAAAATTTATGGGGAAAAGTATTTCTAGATCCATAGAAACATTGAGAACAAAAGCAAGCTTAGGCCATTCAGCCCTTCAAACCTGCATTGCCATTTAATATGATCATGGTTGGCCATCCAACTCAGTACCCTCTTCCCACTTTCTCCCCATACATTTCATCCCTTTAGCCCCAAGAACTACATCCAACTCTTTCTTGCAAATATTTAATGTTTTGGCCCCAAATGCTTTCTGCAGCAGAAAATCCCACAGGCTCATCACTCTGAAGAAATTTCCCCTCATTTCAATCCTAAATGGCCTACCCTGTATCTTTAAATTATAACCCTTGGTTCTGGACTGCCCAGTCACTGGGAACATCCTTCCTACATTTACCTTGACTAACTCCTACACTGTGATTAAACTATCCATTCTCCCAAAAATAGCTTCCATATTGTCAACATAATTGAGTAAAAAATAGGTGTCTTATGAATGTATTTTCATACATCAAAATTCTTATGAAGGCTGTTACTTTTAAATCAGACACAATTAAAAGTCTTGTACAGCAAAAAGGAATTAGTTAAGATGTTTCAATCGTTTAAATGCAAGATTTATTTTCTCACACCAAACAAATCTCCAAAACTTCAAGAGCATGGAACTGTTTGCATATTCAATAAGACATTAATTAATTATTAATATCAAGATGTACAAGGTATAAATGGTTCATAGAGAATAATTACAGGGCAGCTTACAGAATGAGCAATTATTATAAACAGAAGTGAGACGTATCAATACACAGTTGGAAAACAAATGAGTGTACTTGAGGAATAAATGAGCTGTACTTGGGAATGATTGAGGTGTACTTAAAAATTAAGAGAAAAGCATTTGGAAAATAAATGAGGCGTATTGATGAGAGCCTTGTGGTTACTGTATGAGCTTGATGTAATCAAAAGATGTGATTATAAATCCCACCATGGTAACTTATGGCAATTGACTTCAGCAAATCTGGTAACATGTGGGTGAACACAAAAACAAATGACAATGGAATGACTATGAATAATCATTAAATTCCACTGGTATTGTCATAGATATCTACCACCCCTTCATATGATTCCAATCCCATGCTACATTATTCGTTATTAATACCTTTTCAAGTGGCCTAGTATTGAAAGAGAAAATGAGAAACAGATGGCAAAATTGAAACAAAACATTTGATAAAGAACAAGGAGCATTTGGGGAATAAATAAGTGACAAAATACTTTACTGTGAAATGTTATGTTCTTCAAGCCAGGGAGTGCCTTTCATAGAGAATTGAACACTTTGGCAGTCAGCATCAAGTATTTCCTTGTAACACACTGTATATACAAGATAACAAGGTGTAGAGCTGGATGAACACAGCAGGCCAAGCAGCATCAGAGGAGCAGGAAGGCTGACGTTTCGGGCCTAGACCCTTCTTCAGAAATGGGGGAGGGGAAGGGGGTTCTGAAATAAATAGGGAGAGTGTGGGAGGCGGATAGAAGATGGATAGAGGAGAGGATAGGTGGAGAGGAAACAAACAGGTCGAAGAGGCGGGGATGGGGCCAGTAAAGGTGAGTGTAGGTGGGGAGTTAGGAAGGGGATAGGTCAGTCCAGGGAGGACGGACAGGTCAAGGGGGCGGGATGAGGTTAGTAGGTAGGAGATGGGGGTGTGGCTTGAGGTGGGATGAAGGGGTAGGTGGGAGGAAGAACAGGTTAGGGAAGTGGGGATGCTCTGGGCTGGTTTTGGGATGCGGTAGGGGGAGGGGAGATTTTGAAGCTTGTGAAGTCCACATTGATACCATTGGGCTGCAGGGTTCCCAAGCAGAATATGAGTTGCTGTTCCTGCAACCTTCGGGTGGCATCGTTGTGGCACTGCAGGAGGCCCAGGATGGACGTGTCGTCTGCGGAATGGGAGGGGGAGTTGAAATGGTTCGCGACTGGGAGGTGCAGTTGTTTAGTGCGAACCGAGCGTAGGTGTTCTGCAAAGCGGTCCCCAAGCTTCCACAATATACAAGATATTGCTTTCTTCTCTATACCAATTATGGCATTGATCTCCTGTTGATAACTTTAAAAAGCTACTGTTAAGCTCAAAAGAGATTTACTGCTCACTTATTAACGATTGTTGTCAGTAAAACAAATGCCACTTTTACATTAGCACAGTCTCAGATAGGCAATCTTATTGTTTACAAAAGCCAAAGTTGCTGGAAAAGCTCAGCAGGTCTGGCAGCATCTGTGAAGATTAGTCAGAGTTAGCGTTTCAGGTCCAGTAACCCTTCCTCAGAACTGATTTTTAATCTTATTTTCAGTTTTGTTTAGTCTGTTTCATATTTCAACTTTTCCCACTACCCAGGCAAATACAAAAATAAACCATTAGACTAAAATTTGTGACTTTATAAATCGCACATACTTTTTCAGTAAAGTTGATGAAAATAGAAATGTTCGCCTCTAAACCTTAAGAATAAATCAACCTGCTTCTAGAACCAATGGACAATCTACTTTATTAAGAATCGTGTAACAAAAATACCAAACTCATCAAATCCAACAGGTAGCTCTGAACCCTTTAACCTAAACTGGGATTATGCCAGTGAAGCTAAGTAAAAACTCAAAGGAAATACAAGCTGCATTTCTGGTGGTGCTTCTGTGTCTTCATTTCAAATCTAAATCCAGACTCTGCAGCCTGCTTCAGGGCATGAATTTCAGGTTCACACCAGAGTTTACCAGGAAAGTAAACAGAAAGTATAGTTTCGGGGTGGAGAGAGGTTGGATGGGGTGGGGGGTCGGTGTGAGGGAGGGGGAATGGGGGAGATGTTAGGGCGAGGTGGTGTAGAGAATCTGTGTCATGGTCTGCACTGCTATTGTATCTGTGTTAGGCCAGGATATTTGTGAAAGAGCAGCAAAGGTCATAAAGCGCCATAATTGTGCTGCTCGTAATAATGTACATTAAACTGCATGGAGCTTATAGTGTCAAACAAATGATGAATCTTTCATTATGTCAACCCTTAGATGCAGGCAGCTCTGAAGAGACAATGGATGCAATATAAAATGCAATTGGGCCAGCGACGTCGTGAGCACTGCTCCATGCGTTCAACCTCGTATACAGCGACATCTATCACAGAGGTTCCTGTTTACCTGTATCATCAGGACAGCAATAGCGAACATTTAAATGGCAAATACATGGAAGAATCTGAAATTGCTGCCCTAAAGTCAAAAGAGATGTATGCCTAACTTGACCAAAAATAATAATACAAGTCACATTTTCCCCATTAAAACGTAGACTTCAGTATCAACTGTCAGTCTCTAAAACAGGCAACTTGACCCAGCAGGATAAAAAAAGTCAACACTTTTCTGGTAGTAGAAGCCTAGAATGGAGCCAGATGAGACAGATGTTGCAATATTTCATACAGTGTTACTTTCAGAAATCTGACTGGAAAATGGAGCTGTTGGTTGACACAAATGACGTTTCCATGACTGCGAGTCATTGAAAAAAACAAGGCCCTGCTACAAAAGTGTGACTGAGAAGAATTCAAAGAGCTTGCAAGAGGATTGCAGACTGCACATAAACGCCAAGGCAGTGTGCAACGTAGCACATTGTGTAGTAAATCTGAGCCAAGCATGTTGCTGACTTCAACCAGTTGATTTATAGCTTTGAATTTTATTAGTTGGCTTTTGTTACACTTCTCATAAAAGTTAAGAAGCCTTGAAGATTTAGTTGTTTTCCCCAAAGCCAATTCCTGTGTTAATACTAGTTTGAAATTAGTGCAAGTTGTTGCAATTTTACAGACTTACAGGTCTTTCTGGTTGACATGATATACCTTATTTCCTTGTATTGCAACTTTTTACTGTGAAGACTGCATGCACAAAGATACATTGGGCAGAAGGTATCTATATGATCAGTGGTCGCACTGTTGGGAATGGAAGTGCTCCTATGGGAATAAGCAGTGAGATCCTGGGCCTTGTTTTACCTGCAGTAGTATAGTAAGAAGGTGCCATCAATATGATCCCCACTACCTTCAAACAGAACTAGCAGCTCACCAGCACCACAAATAGAGATGGGTGAGTCTGCAGGAAGAAGAAGTGAGTACCTCCATGCTGAAGCCCCTCAAAAGCAAGTCTATGAGTTTTTACTTAATCATACTTGGGCCAGGCAGGTAGACCCACCAATCATGAAGGGAGGTACACCCTCCAGCATGGTTCCCTAACCCTGGGTAAGCCATTAGGCAGTCTCACTATGGACCATGGGCATCATAAAAAAACTGGTTGGCAAGTTTCCAGGATTTATCCAGCTATGTCTCGCATAGAAGCACTACCTTCCAATGCCAACAAGGATGGGAAGAAGCTCTGAATTGATTAATTAATTTGTTCAAAAGCCCACACACCTCCAGTTGGCAAATGGCACATCCTTGAGGTCCCACCTCCAAGGATACACAGCGGTGGTAGACCTTCTGATATCTTCCACCACGATTTTACCAGGTCACCTATCTCTCAGCACACCTCAAGAGGGCTAGTAAAATGCTGCCCCAACCCCCCCTCACTACTGTCATGAGTACAGTCATATGATGTGAAATTAGAGCACGACTACCCTAACAGGAATATTGTCAGGATGTATCACTCAAGACTCTTCAATTATGGCTTGTCTGTGCATCAAAAATTAACAATGGTTAGTCTCAGCTGTGATTCAGTTGGTAATGCTCTCACCTCTGAGCCAGCAGATTGTGGGTTTAACTCCCTCTCCGGTCCTTAAAGTCAAGTCTGGGGATGGAGTGGGCTCATGTACATAGAGGTAGTGTCCCTATCTCTTAACCAGGGGCCCTGGGCTCAAGTCCCACCTATTCCAGAGGTGTATAATAACATTTCTGAGCTGGCTGAATTGGGAAAATATTCAAAAATCAAAGCTGACACTTCACTGATAGGAACGCCATCTTTTGGAAAAGATGCAAAACCAAGAGCCAGCCAATGTCTCAGTGAAACATAGAAGATGCCATGTTGCTATTTGGGTGTTGTATCAAAGCCATTATTCAGAACTCAGCAAAGTTCATAAAACAGATTGTTTGGTCATTATCATGTTGTGTTTTGTACTTACTGAGTATAGATAGACTGCATTTCCTACAACAGTGACTGTGTTTAATAAGTAATTATTTGGCGAAAGACACCTATATAATTGTAACTCTTTTATTTAATAAACATGTAATTTAGCTTAATTACCAATGCAGTTTCTGATGCCAGCCAAATATGAACATTATTCATGCTGTCTGAATGCAGTGATCTGAAGCAGCACAATGGCATTACAGGATGTAGAACCAAACCAGACAAAAAAAGCATAGCTGAGAAATTCCTTTAATATGTTTGCATGAGAATCAGGGTTTTGAAGGTGCTCTGTCTCTGCCGTGTGTAGAATATTTAAAGGTTAGCACCGTATAAACATCTATACTAATGCTCATAGATTGGGTTCTCTGAAAATTAATGGATTCTCTTACAGTGATTTGTTCACATTAACAATTACAGCTTTCTTCAGGGCCTGCACCAAGATTTAATTTAGTTAGGTTTCTTTTTGTATCAATAATCAACAAGTCATGAAAGCAAGACTACGATGGAAAAAGCCATTACATGTTGTGACACCGAATGATCTTTTCAGTAAGGAGCTCTGAATGATTATAATTTTTAAAAAGCCAGTTTGGAATGAACGAAGTTCATTTTCGTGTACATGCCAAGCTATTTGAAATATTGCATTTTCTCAATTTTTTGAACATTATCTTTAAATAAAACATTAGAAAATTATGACAGGCTTCTCCATGTCAAAGCAGTTGCAAAATAGAAAGCATGCATTTAAAATTCCTCTGGTGCCTATGAATTGTCACATCATTGGTTCATCAATGAAGATTTGCCCTCCCAGTATTCTTACTGAGAGTGTAAAAATTTTCTTGCAGACTGCTTTTACAGTTTGTCTGGAAATACTGAACAAGGAAAATCATGTAAACATCAGAGGAATTGTTTCTCCCATCTTACTTAGGAGATAGTTGATGACTAAAAATCTTATGCATTATCAAAAGGTAAAGTCACCAGAGTCTCACTGGACCATAGGGCTGCTCTTTTATTAAAGAGACATGATAGTGGTTTAATATGAGAGTCAACATGCCCCAGGTGAGGGGAGAGGAAAGTCCTTCATAGTAACCACAGCTGCTGGTGCAGGAAGTGAACCCATGCTGTTGGTGTCATTCTACATCACAAACTACCCATCCAGCCCAGGATACTGGATTAGGCAAAGCTAAGTGAAAGCAATCAATGCAACCTTAGTTTATTCAGAAGTAGAATGAACTCAAGTGAGCAAGTAATCTTATCTAGGTTCAGAACTTTTTCCATGATTTTTACTAAAACTTTATTGCAGTATATATTTCATAGGTTTCACAAAAAGGATCAGCCTTCAAACCTAAAAATAACTTTCAACTATAAAAAAGTTGAGAATTATAACAAATATGATGAATTCTCAAATTCCAGAACAATTTCATCAGAGCTCTTTGTATGAAAGGGCTTTTTAACAATATAAGTATCTTATCATTTTTTTTAGAATGATGAGACCCAAGCTATGGTCCAGAAAACTTGAGAGTACGTAAGCATTGATAATACCAGGAGAACATATAATAGTCCAATTAAATGGGCACAAATGTCCACACCTTGATCACACTTAACTGGTTGACAGGATGCAACAATTTGTTTATAAGATGCTGCAATTAATTCTTGCCGCAAAATGGACATTTGTGTTATGTTGCTACCATGAGACCCAAACAATACTGCAGCCCAGATCTCACTCTCATCAAACCAGTACTCTATTTCACTCACTTTGGAGATCAAATAATTATGACATTTTAAAAACAGGCAATAATTGCTGTGAGCCATGTTTTAATCAACTCCAGGAGTCCCATTAAAGTTAGGCTGCTGAACATTTGATACCACAAGGCAGATCATAGATGGATCACACTCCACCCATTTAAATCACAATTGCAACTGAAGTCTAGTGCACATTATAACACCCCATTTTGCATATTAAGGTAACCTTCCTGCTGAATCAGGTAGGCACTCTGGTCAACCAGTAAAAGTGGTAATGGCAATAGCAAAAAAAAGACAGCATGAGAAGGCAGTTAAATGTGCTAATACTATTGCTGCTATTTATACAAAGTGGTCACAGTTAAAATCAATCTCTTAAATTCTATTTATGAGACAATCAAATAGCATTTCCATTGCTACATATAACGTTAAGTGATGTGCAAACAAGGAAAGTTTTATGTAAAAAAAGTAGTTAAGGTATGGAATGCACTGCCTGGAAGGGTGGAGGTAGGTTAAATTGACGCATTCAAGAGGGCATTGGATGGTTATTTAGATGGAAGTGGTGTACAGGGATATGGAGCAAAGGCAGGAGATTGGCACTAGCTGATAGAACTGGTGCAGGCATGATGGACTGAATGGTTTCCTTCTACACCAAAACAATTCTGTGATTAAAAACACCTTGCTGCCAAAGCATGGGATTGCTTTTCAATCCGATTCCTCTTGTGGAAGCTAAATGGGGCGGTTCCAATGAAGTGGTAGATGCACATACTTTATTCTTGTTCCAGTCCAATCAAAAAGGCTGGTGACAAAGACCTCCACCCAAAGCCAACAGGATCCTCCTGAAATACGCAGTCTAGGCACTCATTAGATAATTGGAGCCCGATTTTAACTGAGAACAGGGTGAGGAATGCTGCTTGATGGGGACAGACTATTCCCCATCCAATGAACTTTCAATTACATAACATTTCAGCACCAAATGGCTCCAAAATAATGGATTCCATGCTAGGCAGGCTGACTTGCTTCAAGTGAAGAAGTAATCAATGTTAACAGTAATTTACAAAACAACAAAAAAAACTTTCGTACCAACCAGCATGTTCTTATATTCACCCTAACCATGTCTTTTTGTACTTTAAAAACAATTTAACAATTTTATATGTAAGGAATTATGTACGTTCATTGCTTAACACAATATGTAGTGTTCTGTTACATTGTGCAGTATAGATAATTTTACAAAGAACAAGCTGTAAGGTATCACCAGTAAGAAACTCTCTCTGTGCACTTGTCCTCTAGTCCATGGATTTGTTTCTAATGTTTAAGTTTTAACTTGCATCACTATATCAGTGTTTACCTCTAACATAGTTCATGTTTATTATTCATATTTGGATGTCACCCCAAACTATTCCCAG